GTGGAAATAATTTAAAGTGTCGTTTCAATAGTCATCTTCTTTCAGACAGAGCAAGTCTGCAGGACATATCGAAATTCCTCCTCGAGCAATTAGTTATGGGTAGACTATTATACAGTGGATATTGTTTGTATGTTTAACACAACATACATGTAGGTTTATATGTACATAATTAAATATTAAATCATAATGTACTTTCATTTCTTCTACATTTTTTCTGTAGATAATATATTTTATCTTCTTATCTTTCTTAATCGTTAGAAACTCAGTTTTTACTTGTTCCTTTTTGCGGTGCAATTGTCAAAAATTCTGAAAAAATATTTAAATGTAACGTTTTCTGCAAGGCGGCACTTCTATCACCTAGAATTGATAATACGCGCTTTACATTTATATTCTTCTATTGTATGATATTTTTTTTTTGTAATAAAAAATCCGTCTAATAGACAATTAAATAGTACACATTTTTTTTATACATACATATGTTTCATTTTATGAAAAATTCCTATTTTAAAATTCAAATTTAAACGCCGCGCGCGGGGAAGGTGCGTCTAGTACGTTAGGAAAACGCTAGAGCGCGGGAAAACCTGCTACTCAAAAGGAAATATCGTTAGCATAAAAGGCACTAGTGCGCAATTCAAAAGAAGTCCTCCTCCAGCGAGACTGGGACGCGGTACACCCGTTGTTCACCCAGACCTGGAACTTTCCCGTGCACCGGTACATTACTGCGACGAGCACAAAGAGAGAGAAAGAGACGAAGTACAAAGGCCGATAGCTGAAAAGTAAGTTTTACACCACCAACAGGTAACACGTTCACTAACCGGTATCTACTTGGACTTTCGGTGCTCAACCGCTCTAAGCGTGGAGACGAGTCATCCCCAAGTAGTCGAGGCACTGGGGTTAGTGACCACGTTCTTAGGCGAAGTTCCTGGGTTGACGACTTGAGCAGTGCTCAAGACACCCAAGGGCCCTGAGAACAACCTAACCTTACCTGACTTGGAAGGATAGGTAGTTACCTAACACTAACTTTCCGTGGTTGTGATAAAAATTCGTATTAGTCTAACCTAACGTGTTCAAGCAGAGATATTAAGCAGGGAAAATTCAAATTGCATTTATGTAAAATTTTCTATTAAAAGGGCGGATAAATTTTAAATAAATTATCGAGTATCAGTTCAAGTTCAAACTTACTTTTCTGCTATCAGCCTTCGTACTTTGTCTTTTTCTCTCCCTTTGTGCTCGTCGCGGTGTTGTACCGGTGCACGGGAAAGTTCCAGGTCTGGGTGAACAACGGGTGTACCGCGTCCCAGTCTCGCTGGAGGAGGACTTCTTTTGCATTGCGCACTAGTGCCTTTTATGCTAACGATATTTCCTTTTGAGTAGCAGGTTTTCCCGCGCTCTAGCGTTTTCTTAACGTACTAGACGCACATTCCCCGTGGGCGGCGTTCAAATTTGAATTTTCAATTTGAGTTAATCGGCAATCTTAGCAATTTCGCTCTTTTACACAGGGCAACGAACCCGCCCTCCGACATATAAACACTAACATTGTTTGTGTGTTGGTTCCTAATCTTAGAGTTTCCTCGGTACAAATAATATTCTTAGCCGATTGTTACCACCACTAATTAACCGGGGTTATACTCAAAGAAAGGGAAGTCGTCATTTCTGTACTTGAATCATAGATACGATCATAAAAATTGTATTTAAGCAAATTCGTTTAAATGTGCTGCCTAGTACAAATGTTTGAGTGTGAGTTTTATCCCTTTAAGATGCTAACAGTTATAGTATTATTAAATAATATTACAAAAATTTGTCATTATCGTTAAAAACTTAACAAGCTTTTTAAGNCTGTAATATATAAAGCTGTTAGCTATTAGTTGCCAACCCTGGTTCCTGCCTATGAGCCCGCGCTTTAGTCTCTGTGGTAAATACTTGTCCTAACACTATTTATATCCCTTCGATAGGTATTTATTTAAGTGTATCACCGTATGTACCTCACCCTTTCTCTTATATTTCCCCTTTATTCAGTTAGCGTTGAGCTGCGAGTGTGGCTCTCTCCTCACATATAAAGTAAATGATAATGAACGTATTTTTTTTTTTTTAATTATCTTGCTTTCCTTCTTGTCCAGATATTATTGCCTATTTATTATTTTTATTAACTTAAGTACTTTTTGTACGTTTCAAACTTTTCTAACGCAACTACGTTTTTTTTGTTCTCATTACTTATTTCGCATCGGCTTTACGTGTGCGTGTAAGTTGGTTACTGAGTATGTGAATGGTCGGTTAAAATATTGTGCACCCCATCTTGCCTACGGAGTCATATAACATATTCGAGAAGACTTTATAGTCAGATAGTTTGACGATCGGTTATTTTACATTTGACTTGTGTTTTGGTAGCGACGAGCTTGGAGGTATGAATTAAAAAGAATGATTTTACGACCGTGCATTCCGCATTTATGTTTAGACCTGTGTAGTATATTTTTCTAGTATTTTTTATCCTTACATTTTCTGATACTATGTTTGTCTGCTACTCCCCCTCTCTCTTTCCTAACATGATTAGGCTTAGGATAGGGATTATATGGATATTTCTTGCTTGCTTTTACTATTAACGCCACGCCGCAGACGCATTTGCTAATTTCGTTCGTTGCTCTTTCGCTCTTTTTCCCCTCAAATACAAAACTTTTATTTTTTCTCTTTTTTTTTTCTTTTGGTCTCTAACGAAAAAGCGCTTTTTAAGGTGTTTACGCTGTTGTCTGAGTTTCCGAATCTAAGCTTCGACACTGCTCATGTGACAACATGATTTTTTTGCACCACAAGAATCTTTGTGTGCTGTCTTCATGGACGCAATTCTGCAGGAGCAGTCCACGTGAACTAATGCACAATATCGTTGTGTAGGTAGCGGCTTTAAAGATTACAAGCATTCTTGCTTTTTTTGTTGTTGTAGATCTCTATGCCTTCTTTTAAGTGTCGACGCCACTGTTTTAACGGGCTTTTCGTTATTTTACACATGGTAGTCAATTCTATATCTCGGGACGATTATGTGTGACGTTTCAGGTGTTGTGGTTATCAGCATATCATGATGGTAGGAGTGGGATTGTTTCTATTGGAGAACGACAGAAGGAAGGAGAGAAGGTTTAATCTCTCATACTTGATGTGGGCTCGTAGACCTTTTCAAAAAAAAGTTTTATTTTTCCTGAAATTGCTTTATTTATTTTTCATCATTCCTCCATGCTTCTTTCTACCTAACAATGACTGCTAAAACTTTTTTTTTTACAATAATGAAGTCAATCGGATATTCAAGAATGAAATTATTTTAATTTACAAGTATATGTCAGCCTATACGTATGTTTTTTCCTTTTTATTTGTCTTTACCATCCATAATTTGTACATTTGGCCTGGGAGTCAATTCTACACCTATGAAGTACGTCTACTCCCTAAAGAGTGCCATACGCACCCCTCATTCGCTTTGCTTTTTCTCCATTGACGTTTTATCAAATTACAATTGAATTGTATTATTAATGCTTGGTTCATGCATACCTCCCCATTATAGTTGTTTTTTTTTTTTGCTTGCACATTTAAGTGTAACGTGTGTGAATATCTAGTTCACGACGCGTCCGGAGGTCGCGAAAAAGAATTTTATCGTAAACCTCATTAATTCCTCTCTTGTCAAATTTTTGCGCTGTGTCCGGGGGGCACAAAAATTTTAGAAAACTGAATTTTTGTACGTATTTTAACAATAGTCTTTCTCTACAAGGGTGTGGTTTTATTGTCAGAATATCTGTTGGTTGCGCAGTAATCACTTATTTCATATGTTCTTTTCGTATTATTTGTTGCTCACTCGTGGCTCGTCTGAGGGCCGTGAATTAATGAAAACCAACGCTTTTTCCTATGTATGTTATACATGTATGTTTCTGATTATCCTGTCTTCCTATACAATATACTATGTCGGTATACTAGCTTTATTTTTCTTATATTCTCTATTCCTGCAGTCATTATTATTATGAGAAATCTTGCTGTCATTATTATTAATATTATTAATATTGTTATAACTATCGCCGTTGTGCTTTCTTCAGTCAATAGTGTGACGTTGCACTTTCGCACCCTGAGACACTACAGAGTGTCACAGCCAGGGTAGTCCCGAAACAACGTCCAAAGACACTTACAAGGATCTTCTTGCCAAAGTCCGCTGTATCCTGAAACGCGAAAAACCCCTGTCCCCACGCTCACGATGTCCGCTGCTTGGCCCAGGAGACTCGTCCCTGAGGAGGTCTCGCCGGCGGTAGTCCATCGGGATCAGACTACTCTCCCAAGGAGAAACAAGGCGTGACCTGTAAATTCGGAAGGAAGGAAAAACACACGCACGACAATAGACGAGGTAAATGATTTATACGAACACTTCACTTTATTTTGGTGAACTTTTACACGTGGGCTTTTAGGCCCGAATCTTGGCGCAATCCAGCGCTATCGCAACAATCCATGACAATCACCCTTTCCGCCGGACTCTGCCGTTCTCGCACTCCATGCTTCCTGGGGGCGTCCCGCACTACCCGATCCCCTGACACACACGTAAATACACACACGCTCGCACACTCTACTTTACCCTTACCTCCGGGTTCACCATATTCCGGGTCAAATCAACTATGGGGCCTGCCGATGACCTGGTCTCGCAGATGACAGCTGGGGGCGATAGCTCTCGTCTTCTCGGTCGTCGGTCGCAAGGTCGTTCCCAGTTGGCTTGGAAAGCTGATTCCGCTCTTGTCTTTCTCTCTCTCTCTCTCTCGATTCCTTCCGAAAACGCGAAAAACTTGGAAGCTCTGGTTCGCTCGGATGCTACTATAAGAGTGTCACGTTAAGCTCACCAATTAGTGCAGCCTCGCGCATTACCGCACTATATCTACATACATACTTCTGAATCTTACCGCCAGGACATCATTTACACACACTCGAACGCGACGCAATTTATAGTACATACTCTTAATACGGATACATGGGTATACATACAATCTTCGTCGATGAAACAATACTGGATTAGCACAATGGTGCGGTAATTACAAATATTTTATAATACGCAATCCCACAGATAGACCCTTAAATACTAGAACTACACATTCTTGGGCTTTTCTTCGGCGCTATGTATTCGTTTCTCTCCTTGGCGCTACTCCTTGTATCAAATTACTCTCACGTAGAACATGAAACACACATACCCAGACCTTTATTAGCTACTTGTAAATAAAAATAGATTTCACCTTGATGACGCGTTTCGGCGCTTAATGCTGTAGGGTCAGAGAAAAATGACTTCGTCATAATATCTTACCATTGTTTTAGGCATCCAATGGGGGTTGTGGTTCAGGTGGGGGCCTTATGCGCTTTTCGTTGGGCTCCCACACGTCAATCCTCATTCCCGGCCTTCCCTCTACATCTCGCATTTTAATGTCAATCATTACTAGAGCCCGTAATTTATTGGACCTTCCATCTAATAAATCATGCATGTTCGGCTCTTCTTGTTTATTTGACTTAATTAGATTCTTTACACGTTCTTTTTCTTCTTGGTTGTAACCGGCTGTGTCTACGAGTTGCATTATCTTATCTACCCGTTTTTGTTTCTCTTACTCTTCTTCGTCTTTTGTAAAATTTTCTGTTTTTTCTTCATGACTTCCTATTTTTTCGTTAAATAACCTTATTACCGCTTCCCGCAAGCTTTCGACATTGTCCCCTTTAATGTCTGAGTACTTCCGATAAATTTCTTCGTAATTTAGCAGCTCTACTTTTGGAACAGGAACGCATTTTATCTCGTCACTTGTAGTAATGCATTCTGCGACTATTTTTCCATTAATATTTTTGGCTATAAGATTTCCAAAAAATATTTCTTCCTCCGTCTTTTGGAGGGATATCCAGCCACTTTCTACTTTATTTATGCTTTCCTTTATTCGCACGTAAGTTATTTGACTCGATTTTGCAGGTATTTTAAAACACTCTGGCTGTATCAGCGGTATCTCTACGTTGTCCAACTTAATCATATTCTCGGCAGCGCTTATCTGGCCTCGGTATCGCTTAAAAATATTCCGCCCTATGATTCCTTCCGCATTAATTGGGAAGTCATGGGGGACGACATGTGATGTGCACTGTAATCCGTGCAACTGAGCCTGTACTGTGCCCAATGTATTGCGTGCTCCGTGAGTCACACTGATAATAGCTACTTGATACCTACTGTCTATTAGCATGTCAGTGCTTGAAAAATTAACCTTCATAATAGAAATCTCTGTGCCAGTATCCGCATAAAAAGCCGCTCGTAGACGCGTGGGTTTGTTATATCGGAAGAGATAAAGCTGAGGGTCCCTCTACTAGCTCTTGATACGATATATGTTATGTTCAGGTCCTAATATTTGGTCCCTTTCACCTAGCTGCAGCAGTTTAAGAGAGAACAGATGGGTGAGAGAGTTTCCCTACTTTCCGTGCTTGATCCAATTTATGGCACTTATCCTCTCCTTAAGACGCTGTTCTCTCTCCCCTCTGGTCTCTGCTGCTTCCTGTTTTCGATGGACTCGTCGAGTTTTTGCGTTATGAGTCACTAATTTTTCTCCCTGTTCTCGAATTCTTTTATCACGTAAATCGTTTTTCCAATAAAAATTCGACTAATCCAATGCGTTTTAAGTCTATTATTTCGCGTGATTTATGTTTTGCGTTTAGGAAAAACACTAAAAGGAGGAGCGGATGAAACAATAAATTTATTTATATAATATATATACATATAGTGGATGAATAATATATACATCAAGAATAGAAAATAAAAATTCAACGCTCTTATCTCTACCTAATTAGTGCCCCTCCTACTTTGCCTTGGGAGTAAGGGATACAATTAATTTTATTAAATATGTACTCACGTGCTAGTCAACATGCACACCAATAGGAATAAAATTTCTGGGACCATTCCCCTTGCTTCTTGTCTTCTTGGTCTTGTGATTTTCAGCGATTGTTACCCTAGTCTTACTGGCTTCCGGGCTGCTGTCGCCGCTGCTTGTTAACCGGTCCTGGGCGGAATTTCTTTGAAACGAGTACAATGAGAAAAAAAATCCCGACTCTTACCGTATCCCACACCTTTATTTAAGATACCGTAATCTCCTTGCTCGCGCTTCCCTTCCCTTGGCCCTAGGCCCCTTGTTATAAGGTTTGAGGAGAGGGAGCGTAGAGTCTCACCTATACTATCGTACGTTTCAGCAGTTTAAGATTTTGTATTTTTGTGTCGACAACATTTAAAAAGGCAAACAAAGAAGATGGATGAGTACGATTTTTCTCGTCAAACCAGAAAAACATAAGCTTTTTTATTACTCTCAGAAAAATGCAGTGCACCTCATTCATTGCCGTAGATTCCACGTAATTTTTAACGAGTAAGCCAAATGATGATGGGCCTTTAACACCAAAAGCACCTGACTCCTTTTTTCCTAACTCCTGAGCTTGTTTGACAAAATTTTTTGATTTTTCTGTGTTTCTTAATACCAAATTTTAAATAAAATGGTACGTTTGAACATTTTCTACTCTTTCTGTTTCTATTATGCATCTCTGGCATTCATGCTTTCCATTGTATTGGGTCATACTTAAAAATAAAGCTTTGGCAGGTAAATCACAAGTTCCACTTATCATCATTGCTTTTACTTGTATTTCATCTCCCGAATTTGATACGTTTAAGCTCACTTCTTTGTATAACTTTTTTAAATTCTCTTCAAACCCTGAAGTGAATAAATTTGGAGATGGCTTCGCTTTGCCCATCCATATTCCAGCAACAATCATATTTTCTCTTTTTTTATTCGTAGTTTATAAAATCATTCATTAATTATCAGATAAAGCGGCCATACATTTATTTTCAATGATTTAAAAATTGATACTCCATCACTGTTCCAGGTAAGGTAATTCAGATTTTGGGTAAAGTTTCCATTTAGAGATTTGTATATCGATTGATCATATAAATCTTTATAATTTGATTCATTTTGTTTTTGTCTTCTAAATCGGTACAGCAAATTTTTACTAAAGCTTTTTCTCTTAAAAATATATTCTAATAGACTCATTATTGGTATTTTTAGAAAGTAATTTTTGCTGTCTTTTTCATTGCATTTTGGACAAAATTTTGAATTATGGTTTAATTTTGAAAAACAGTTAGTGCAGTAATAATGGTGCAGTAATAATGGCGTTTTGAAGGCTAATCCATACTCGCGAAAAATTGCTTAAATTTGTTAACAGTTCTTACGCATTTATTAGGTTGTGTACAATGCATTGATATGAGTGAAAATACACTAGCTTAAAGTGTACCCGTTACATTAAAAGAAATAGCGGAAGTGAATATTGATATCAAGCTCTCGGCTACAGTGAAAGGAGCACCATTATAAATTGGTTCATTTGCTTCATTGGATTCGTCACCACTGCAGTCAGTAGTGTCAGTAGCTGAATCTTCACTATCACTATCATCTGACAAACTGTCTGAATCAGTTCTTTCGTCAGAATCGTCTTTACATAAGCTTTCTTCTGAATTGCTAACAGATCTACGAAGGTTTAGAATCGAATTTTCATTGAAATTTGAAGTGAAATTGTGTACCAAAAGTAAATAAAAAAAAATCTGAATTCAAGTTCTTTCTCAGTCGTCAAACGCTTCGTGAGTACTAAAAATTTTCCACTTAACTAAAGATTTAATGCAAATTTCAATGACCCTTTATTTTAATATTACAGATGCCAATGATAGAAAACTCAACATTTAAACTTCCAAAATGGAAACTAGATGTGTACAAAGATTCTTATTGTAAGAAACCCAAGAAAATGGTCAAGGCTTTTATGGTTGATGTTTTACGAATCGAAAAGTTGAAAAATATGTCGTCTACTGGTAAAAATGGCAAGGAAAAAATACCTACAGAAGCTTACGATGATATTTTTGGTAATTAAATACATGAGGTATTTCACGTCAACTGTCCTAGCGCGATCCGCGAGCACCAAAACATGTACTTTTCAACTCGCGATTGTGGTATTATAAATAACTGAGAAAAAATAATGAAAACATAGGATCGGCATCTTTTTTCCTCAGCTTTTCGGTGATGCAATCGGTTTTTGAAAAAATTACGATTTAACCTAGAAAGAATACAAAATGTGTTATATCTCAATAACGACATTTTTAGTATATTTTTAACTATCGCCAATCTAAAGAGCAGGATTTTTTACGTCGGTATGGCGATTTCCAGAGAGTAATTTTTTCATTTTAGCGAGATATTAAATGACAAAGTTGGGCGCAATGACACAGCGGCAGCGGCTGCTCGACTCGCGCGATGGTATGCTATATATATATCGCCAAGCGAACATGGTTAGGTTGCGCTGTTTTGATTCGACGTTTCGATGGACGGTTGGATCGCATACTTTTGTTGTTAAGTGTATTTATAAATAAAAAAATTTTTTTTTGACACATAAGTTAAGAGGAATTGACAGATTGATAGTTTATCTTAAATGGAGCAGTATTTGAGCTGTGTATTAAATTTATTGCTCGTTTTCGAGGTTCCATTAACTGATAACCAAATACGTTATTATGCACGCAGAAGATGTCATGTGAGCTAATGATTTTACTTGCCGAACGTTATTTTGCTGCAACGC